CTACTCATCATTATCAGCCTAGCTCCTTGGCTTTGCATCTTACGGTGAGTATATTAGTAATTAGTAAAGTAAGCCATTTTATTTATTTAATATTTGTATGTATTTCTATGTAACTGTAATTGTGTTTCATATTTCAGACACGAGCTTTGCAGCGCATACATCAGCGGGCTACTACCACAGTGACTGATAGTCATGATGTGGACATGTATGGACAGGCTCTGACAGGCATTGCCTCCTTTGTGTTCAGATGTGTTGGGACGAGTCGACTACGGCCATCTTATACACATGCCCCCATCTCAGGAGATGCCATCCACGTCTAGTGCAGCGGCGGCTTCATCATCCCAGACGCAGCATGAGAGAGTGGTTCTTCAACCACGACAACGACGTAGGCGTAGACATGAGTAGCAACATCTCCATGACGAAGCTGGTGATGGGAACTTGTAGTTTGTCTATAGTATTGTAGTTTTTATTATGCAGTAGATGTTGTAGGAACAATTTACAACATTTGACGTGTTTTCTCTTGTAAAGTCTTGTATGTTGTCTTGATGTGTTCAAGTATGAATATTAGCTGATTACTTGTTATGAATATTGGATGATTGTACTGTGTTATACCAGTTATGAATGTAAGTTTTTGTATTTGATTTGTAAAGGGTATTTTCAAGGTGTTTTTTATGTTGATGAGAGTAGGTGTTATGTATGTGATTGTGAAGACGTGTGTTGTATGTTTTATAATGTGTTGTATCTGGCTCGTAACACTTAAACAGGAGAAGAGAGACCTTATTTATAGCAAACAGATGAGTCCGGGTTGAACTGGAGCGAAAAATCTGCTGAAATCCTGTTTTCGGACCTAGGCACGATCGTGCGTCCCAGGGTACGCACGATCGTGCGTGGCTGGCAGTAGCTGCTCGCCTTCAACCATATTTCAGGGGTAAGTCACCCAATGGTTGGGTGACTTATAAGTCGCCAACCGATTTGACGACTTACCCCTGACCATGGTTTAGGCCAGCAGTAGATCGGTAATAAGTTTTTTTCCAACATTATTTTCGTAAATAATTATTTAATTAACATTAATTCGAAAAAAAACTCATATATTTATAGTTTTATACGTATACAGGCACAGAGCAAAATCGTCTATTGTATTAGCCTATTAGGATTAGGGCGTTTTTAATGATTTTTTACGCTGCCTTCTAAGGGTTGGTTTGTAACTGCTTTTAAAAAAACACTTCTCAGCTTTTGGCTTTAAAAAAGCACTTATTTTCTCAAACACTATAACTTTTATTTTTCTCGGCTTCCGCGTCAAAAGTGCTTTTACTTTTTCTATTACACAAAAAACACTTATTTTAACAAACACAACCCACTTTTACTTTTCAAAATCACTTTTTTCTCAAACACTATCAACTTTTATTTAATCACTTCTCCCCATTTCATTAAAAAAAACACTTTTTTAAAAGCAGAAACTGTTACAAACAGACCCTAAAATAGATGTACCGCCTATCTAGGGTCGTAAATGAACCCTAACGACTAAAAGAGATATTTGTATTGAAATAAACACTAACAAAAACATATTACAAATTACATTTATAATGTGTGAAATAAGTTGATAATTATATCAAAGTAAAAGTGTAAAGACTTCACGATCCTAATTTTATACTCCCTTCGTTCCCCAATTAAGTTCTTGGTTTGACTTTACACATATTAAGAAAAGAAATTTGACTTTACTGTGGAGTGCACTGTTTTGCACTGTTTAAACACTGTTTGACACTGTTTGGACACTGTTTGGCACTGTTCTGTATACAATTTGCCAAATAAGAAAAGTATTGAAATGTGAACTTAATTTAGGGACTACCCTAAAAGAAAAGTGGGAACTTAATTGGGAGACGGAGGGGTATTAGACATTCAACATCTCTAATAATAAAAACAACAATGTTTGATGTGCCCACTCTTATACCCACCTTATACACACCATGTTTGTGAATGTTTTTGTCTTGTCTGTGAACTTGATTCACAGACAATATTTTGTCTAAGCAAAATATTGTCTGTGAACCGGGGTTCACAGACAACAAAAAACACTTCACAAACATAGGTGGGTACAAAAGTGGGTATAAGAGTGGGTACAAAGATCATTTTTGTAATAAAATACCATTAGATATACTCCCTCCGTCCCATTGGACTTTGCCAACTTTCCCTTTTTGGTTGTTCCAAAAAACTTTATCACTTTCCTATTACAGCAACTAATTTGTGGTTCTGCATATTTCTCTCTCCTCTGCACAAATCTCAACCACACAATTTTTACTATTCTTATTTCTCAGTTATGTTGTATATGTATAAATTAATAAATTTAGTTATTCTTCGAATTGAGTATATAATAATTATTTGTATTCATATTTGAAAGAAGTTCAAACTTAAAATCTAATTGGTATTCGTATTCATATTCTATTTTTTCAAATTCAAATCACAATTTTTGAATCTGAACCGTGAATCGAATCATAGTTTTAAAATTCAAAATTATTTACAAGCCTTATATTATTTAAGACTTGAAATGTATATGGCTAGCTTTGAAAACTATAACTTTTATATGCTAACTCTATATTATATGGGCTACACTTTGAGGTTATAATTACCTTTTAAAATTCATCTCGACAGGGCCGGATTCAAGATTTCGAGTCAAGGAGGGCGAAATTTTTTCGTTAGTGTAGGGTGAATTTTTTTCCGCTAGTGTAGCAGGGCGAATTTTTTTTGCTTGTGTAGTAGGGCGGAATTTTTTCGCTAGTGTAGGGCACTGAGGGTAATTTTCATTAAAAATTCCATTAATACATACACAATTGCATTTAATTAAATTTATTAAATATTAAGTTTAGACAATGAAAAAATAACTTTTATTTTGTAACAGTAAATGCATTAGGAAAAAGTAATGATACATTAAAGTGTAAGAAATGACAAATCAAATGAATTTTTTTGAAAATATAAAAAGGATATGTAACATTTTATCAAATTATTTGAAGGTAAAGAGTTTAAAAGGTATACATCAATCAATATTTGTTGAATAATTTTTGTGTTGTTTAACCACATGAATCTTATAAGAATAAAGAACTGGTTTATTTTTTGAATTGTATTTTTTTGTTTACCAAGGAGGGTACGGTGTTCGTAGGTCATGAGAAGTTTCATTAATATTACAATTGTATGTATGAGATTTTTACTTTTATAATAATATTATACATAGTATTGTTAATTCATATATATGATGCAAATTATATTTGTATTAATGCTAAATAAATTATAGTTTATAATCTATGAAACAAATTGTTTTTAAAAAGTAAGAAGTTAGTGAATTATGTAGTTTATTAATGTCAATAAACATTGAGAAAATTCTCTAAATAGGAGTAAAAACGTTTTGAAATTTCAAAATAGGAGTATCATATTTTTTATTTCATGAATATGAGTAAATTTCTTCCAAGTTTGGAATTACTGGGGAGATTTTGACATAAATATTACCAAAAGTCATGGGGGTTACAAGAAACTAACTATTAATGTGGAACACGTTTAGCGTCACGGGATTAAGTTAAAGCAAAAGGTCATATTTTTGTTAATGAAGTTTAAAATAGTAATATTTGTGTAATTTTTTCATTATTGGGCTTTAAACATGGCATTTTCTTCCAAACGTGGTAGATTACTCCTATTCAAGGAATAAAAAACATGATACTCCTATTTTGGAATTTCAAAACGTTTTTACTCCTATTTAGGAAAATTTATGACAAACATTTATAATTTAGATTTACTTTACATGATCCGAAACTTGGTTAACTAGTGAATGATATTTAATAGGGAAGAGTGTGAAATAGGCTCCTCTACTAATACGAAAAAAGTCAATTAAGCCCTCGAACTAAAAAAACACTCAATTAAACCCACGAACTATGAAAAACGAGGCAAAACAACCCTTTTAGCATGTAATTAACCGGTTCCCGGTAAACCTTTACACGTGGTGACAGCCGACAGGTGGCCTCAAATGGCAACACGTGGTGACACGTGGACTAATGGAACCGGGAACCAGTTAATTACATGCTAAAAGGGCTATTTTGCCACATTTTTTATAGTTCATGGGTTTAATTGGGTGTTTTTTTAGTTCGGGAACTTAATTGACTTTTTCGTATTAATAGGGGGGCTATTTGACACTTTTCCCTATTTAATATATATTGTTTGATATTTTACAAAATCGAGTGCCAATTATCTAATAAAGATACTTAAACATTACACAACTAAAAAAAATTATATAATAGGTATCCTAAGTCTTAAACAATGAGTTGTTCTATTAGTTATTTAATTATTTAAGTTCTGTATATAATTTTAGATGTTAGTTAGCTTCTTTTAAATCTCCAATTAAGTATTACATTATGCACGATTATATATTAATTTTGAAAAATAAAAGTTAAGGCGGGCAACTAAAAGTCAAGGGAGTTAAGTATTACATTATGCACGATTACTATTCTTATTTTTCACCTACTTTGCACTTGGCAAAGTCAATCGAGATGGAGGTAGTAACTTATAACATTGTTTAAATATTTCAACTACATTAAAAGAACTAAAACCGTAAGTCATATATAGCATATACTTCAAACTCCTTGACTACCTTGCTCAAACCATGTTGCCCAAACTTACAAACAAGTATAGCATATAAAAATAAATATTAACAAAGTCAAACTAATTAATCTATAAAAATAAATTAGTTAAAAAATCGAACTTACAATACGGAATATAGTATGACAAAGTACCATAAAATAGTCAAACAAATTAAACCACACTCAAACCCAATTTAAAGTGTGAAAATTAGAAAATTAGAAAATAATATTTAATATTCATCAAGCACAAAAATATATTAGCAAAAAGGGAGACTTAACTCACCAAATCGTGAATATGAAAATAATATCATTTAATCATTTCAACAAACACCTTATGAGCATAAAAGTGAAATAGAATAGTTGAACAAAAATTGAAATTAATAACATCACAAATCTTTAACAATATAACAATGTAAATCAGCATTCAACATTATAACATACTTGTATGTTACATACATAAAATTGAAAAAACAGAATTAATTGTCATGACCCAAAATGCACAAAAAATGGAATAAATACTTTATGTGAACAAGGTCTTGGGAGAAAAGAGCACATTCTCACTTGAAAAACTAAACGCTGTCTCAATCATCTGTTTGTATATGTTGAAATTCCAAGAGTTCATATCCTATACCCCTTTTTTCGTATACAACGTAACACGTCAATTTTTTATGATGCCGTTAATCCCATTATAAATCACATTCACGTATACTCCGTATGAAATATTTCGTAATAGTTTTGTATTTAAACAAGAGAAAAAAGAAAGAATATAAAAATGTACATAAAAAGTATTGATGTGCATAAATAACTACCATAAAAATATGAATACCCATGTTGCACTGACCATCATCATATACGATCACTTGGGGTTGGAGTATAAGCTGCAAACCCCAGAAAATTATCATAATCACGGGGGTATATGTAACTAACATGCATGTTTAACTTTTTGCAAATTTGCCTTATTCTGCGGGCCTTTAAGGAATAGATGAAGAGGCCTCGATATCTCCAAAACAATACCAATTGATCCTTGTGGATGCTGATGATTCTTATACCCGGGAAAGTAAGGTTTACGGTAGACCACTGGTCGGTGAAAGGAAACACATTCACATCCCAACTAAGAGAAGCGATGTATTTCTTAGTCCAAGATGACCAATTCCCATAGTCTTCCAAAACCCATATATCTATTGCCAAGCGTTCATACTCCACACGGCAGAAGCACAAACGATCTTCCTTCACCAACAAAAAGGCTGTGTACTTCTTTTCTGCCATGTAATCCTCAAAAGGGAGGTGTCTAAGCGACAACTCTTCACTAACCATATCAAAAATCATCACACCCCCGACATGCCAATGCAGAGCTTGATTAACAATTGCTGGGTTACCGTCAACAACATCATATGGTGTTTCCCCGTCTGCCCAAAGGCGTTTAGGCTCGTAATGAAAATAAGGACTTGCGGTTTGCCTCCACCGTTTGGATCCAGTTGAGTAAATGTGATATTCAAATAAAGGTTCTCTTCCATACACGGCAAGAATCCTGTGTTCTTTTGCTATAGGATGGTAGAAGATCCCGCATGCTCGGCTATTAGATACATTGGGGGTTCCTACTATTTGGACTCTATCTCTTGATAGAGGATTAAACACAGCATATTTGGTATAAGCTTCCTCGTTCCTGGTCGAAATCAACGCTAGTCCGCCGCAAGCATTTACAAGGTAAGCTCCTTTCAGTGAGTTTAGGCCTCTGGTCTTGCACTCCTTTTCAGAGTTTCCAGTTACAATGTAAAGCCTCAAGTTATTTTCGCCCCTCCTCTTAGAATAACGAATAATTATAGGCCTGCTGCTCTGCTGCTCATCAACATGAGATGATGGTGAAGACTTTAACATTCTGGGAACTTTCTTCATCAATTTTTCATGAATAATAGCCAGTGGTGTAGATCCGGATGTCAATGCGTCCTCCACTGCAGCGCTATTAGTCAAATCATTACCAAAAACTTCCTCAAAATGAGATGATGGTGAAGGAATTAACATTTTGGGAACTTTCGGCATCAATTTCTGATGAATAATTGCCAGTGGTGTGGTTCTGTCTGTCAATGCATCCTCCACTGCAGCACTATTGGTCAAATCATTACCAAAAACTTCCTCAAAATGAGATGACGGTGAAGAATTTAACATTCCCGGAACTTTCTTCATCAACTTCTCATGAGTAATTGCCTCTGGTGTAGAATTAGATGATCTGTCTGCCGATGCCTCCTCTACTGCAGGACTATTAGCCAAATTAACACCAAAAGGTTCCTTAAACAGAACCATAATCCAGGAAAGACGCTGAAAGACCATACCTCGTGATATTAATGCTACACATATAATAATAACAGTAATAACAAATTAGATAATGTTTAAGCACGCATGATGCATATCGGCATATCGCAATAGATACTTCACTTATTGGAGGCGGAAGACAAAACTATCAAATTGGGTAAACAATTCAATTGGAAAAAAGAAAAAAATCAATCTGAGCCTATGAATCTGAAAACTTTGCAACTTACCTTGGAGAAGTTAAGGTAGGGACAAAAAATTTCAGAGAGAAGAGCTGTTACGTACGGAAAGGTGGATTTGAACGCATACTCCCCATACGGAAATATAAGATTTCTTAGGTTTTGCGTCTAATTAATACGAAGTACTAGGACTACTAGGTATTAGGAAAGTGTGTGTGACTATTTGATTCCAAAAGAATCCCGAGCAGATTGAGGCTCTGTTTGCAATAACTTGTATTTAAATAAAGAGAATTACCGTAATAAGACTAAAACTTGAAACAAATACAAAACTAGGACTCCTATGTTTAATTTGCAAAACTAGGACTACAAATTACCTAGTTAGACAAAAATACCCTTAATGATTATCGCTCCAGTACTTAGGATGTTTTTACTAAGACTGTAATTTGCCTCAGACCAGACCAGACCAGACCAGTCCAGACCAGACCAGTCCAGACCAGACCAGAGCAGTTCAGACCAGACCAGACCAGACTTGGATAGTTATAAAAATACAAAGAAACCAGACCAGACCAGATCAGACCAGACCAGACCAGCAAATTACAGTCTAAGTAAAAACATCCTTAACCAGCAGACTCGCATCGGCAATTACATTGCCGCATAATTTGGTCCGATTGAGCGCACGAGGTAATCTCTTCCTCCTCTTTCCCTTCTTCTTCCTTCTCCTTTCTTCCTCTTTCTTCTTCTTCATTCTTCTTCCTCCTCTTCTTCTCATCTTCTACTTCCAGATCCTTATTTCTTCATTTTAAAATTTGTTTATTGTTAATTCATTTACTATTTCAGATTATAAATAAAAAAATACTACTCCCTCCGTAACAAAAAAATCTTCCCACTTTCCTTTTTCGTCCGTAACAAAAAAATATTCTCATTTCTAAATCTTCCCATCATATCCTCAATAATTCTTAAAATAATACACTATTACAACTAACTTTTTTGGATTTATCCTACATTCTATCATATTATTCCACTATCTTCCCATCATACACTCAATAATTTATATTCTCTTTCACTATTCTTAGGCTCTGTTTGCAATCACTTAAAATAAGTGATTGTGGCTTTTTTCTAAGAAAAAAGCACTTATTTTTCCAAACATTACCAACTTTTACTTTCTCGGTTTTCGTGTAGAATCTACTTTTTACTTTTTCTATTACACAAAAAGCACTTATTTTACCAAACACTACCAACTTTTACTACTAATCATTTTTTCTCAAAAAGTGCTTGTATTTAAGCACAAGCATTTGCAAACAAACCCTTAATCTACATACTTTTGAAATGAGAAGATTTTAAAGTTACGGAGGGAGTATTTTGGATGTAAACAAATGGTCACTTTTATGCCATTATATTATATCAAGATGTCAATATTTTAATGACATGTTTTTTGACTGGATTGCCAAATGTTGTCATTTTTAGCAATATTATTTTCGAAAATGCCATGATGATGGAAGTTTCATATAAAGACATGGCATTCTCAGTTGTAAAAATTATGATTTTTTAGATGAAAAATAATGGCAATTTAAGGATGATAGTTCTGACATCATTGGGAAAATTTGTCAAAAAACATGTCATTTATAATAACAAGTAGTTATGTCATTCTCAGATAAGCCATAAAAATGCCATAAAATGATTTAAAATGACATTTTCTTATGGACATATGACATTTTCAGATTGTCATCCTGCTAAATATATTGTCACATATGTGACAGTTTTTTCAAATAACCAATAATTTTGACATTTCAGATTATAAAAGTGGCATTTTGCTGAATAGATAAAATTCAGATCCAAAAATTCCAAATTAATAAATAAAATTCAAATCCTAAAAATGAAAAGAAGAAGAAAACAGAGGATTAGAAATTTGAAGAGGCCAGGATTAGAAGAAGAAAAAGAAGAGGAAGAGGAAGAGGAGGAAGAGGAGGAGGGTACCTGCAATCTTTGGAGGAACCTGCAGCGGCTTGGATTTGGAGAGCTACTATTGATTTAGCCGATGGCCTGGGAAGCTTCGATCGGGAGAGCTGCTATTGATGGCGCCTATGGGAGAAATCGCAAGAGCTGGGGGCCTAGGGCGGAAGATATCGCAGAACAGAGCAGGCGAAGTTGAGTTTAATAAGAGGAAGGGTAAAAGGGTAATCTGGAGTCCTATTTAGGGAATAAAAAACTTGAAGTCCCATTTAGGAGTTTAGTCCATGTTTTAGTCCCATTTTGAACAATTTCTTTTAAATAAAAGCACTTTTTGAGAAAAAGTGATTAGTATTAAAAGTTGGTAGTGTTTAGTAAAACAAGTAATTTTTGTGTAATAGAAAAAGTAAAAAGTAGATTCTTTACGGATGTCGAGAAAAGTAAAAGTTGATAGTGTTTGGTAAAATGAGTGTTTTTTTCTTTTAAAAAAAAGCCAAAATCACTTTTTTAAGGGATTGCAAACAAGCCCTGAATGACTACCGATAAAATCATTGTAGGACTAAACTCTTTTAAAATTAATTTAAAAAAAAAACTCTTTTAAAATTGGACCGTTATATTTTTTTCTTACTGAAATATGAGTAATATGATAATATTTATTATTATATTGATTCACTACGGTTAAATAGTTGCAGTACTAAGCATGCATTAAATGTGACATTATTTACTATAATTAATGACAATATTTTTCAGGGGTGGGCATAAAGCGAACCCGACCGGACCGTAATGGTATCACACCGAACACCGGATATTTAAACGGCTCTATAGAATTTTATTTCAAACCAAAATTGTATCATTTCAGACGGGTACGGATCGGTCCTAGATTTTAAGAACTGAAATATACCGTACCGAACCATTCAAAAAATAATGCATTTGACATTTTCAAATTTTTTCCATACCAATAAATATCTTTTATAGACCAAGTATGTATTCGTGCATCCCTAAAATAGCTAAATGTGTGCGTTTATATAAATACTGTTATTTTTTCGTTTTAGCTAATTTATGTTATATTTGCTACATATTGAAAGAATGTTAAACTTTTAGAAATCGTTAATGACTATATATTAATTTCTAGTAATGTGGTGTATATGAATTTTTCTTGTGTCATATTTGTGTAGTCTTACAACTTAATTAATATGTTTTGAGTTTTAGCTCTTACCATTCAAATATGAATTAAATTAGAACTATGTTCAATCTAGAACAAAGAAGAACAATGTTGAATTTGACTATTAAATTCAACAATTTGATGATATTCTTTGTATATTTTCACATGAATTAAATAAAGATGATATTTATCGGGTGTATCGTCATTTTGCTATATTGTTCTTTTATTGTGTTGCACTATTTGACTATATGTGAATTTAAAAACAAAAATGTCAGTCTCTTAAATCTGTACTAGTATTTAGTATGTACATTGTTGTATTTTTATCAACATTTCATGTGATGATTCGGACCATCACATTTGGCTAGTGTGATGATTCTACTAGTTGCAAAATTTATCCAAATGTTTTAGCATGTTTTTGGCATTGTGCCGAACCATTTTGTATCGTTCCGAAATGACATGGTACCTAATGGTTCCATCCTTAGAATCGGACCATACTGAATTGTTAGAAACCTCACAGGTACATTACGGATTTTGCTAATTTATCGGACTGTTCTGAATCACGCCCAGCCGCCCACCCTTAGTATTTTTCAGTCACGACAATATTTCTCAATCATGTGAGTAACGACTCCTATTTCGAGAAGAAGAAAACAAAGCACTCCTATTTTGGATTTCGAAAACCTATTTACTCCTATTTAGGGAAATTTTTCAGTTTTTTCCCAAAATAATATTTAAATTTGTGATATTTAATTAATTAATTAATTAATTAATAAACAAAAAGATAAATATTCCCTTTGGGTTACACCTATAAAACTATAACCTTTTTCTTCGTTTCTGCAACAGTGCAACCCTAGGCTCTAGTCTCTCACTGCCTCCTTCTAGCCAGATCGCCTACTCGCTATGCCGTCCACCCGCATGTTGTGCTTGCCGCCTCCGTCTAGCTGCACATTTGCATGCTCGCCGCCGTTGTCCCGCCGCACAGCCTCCTCGCTTTCCGCTTAAGATTAGGTTTTGTGGACTTCATCATCTTCTTCTATTGGAAATGAAATTAGGGTTTGTGAGCATATGGACCCCACCACTAGGGGCAGAGTTAGGGGAGGGCCAACCCTGGCTCTTGCCCAGTCCAAATTTTAAAATTGTCTAAATTTTTTGTGTAACCGTGTAAAATATTTTTTAAAAATTTTCTTTGTACCGGTCCAGTCCGGTTAGTGCTCTGGCTACACCCTTGCCCACCACCCCATTATCGCCACTATCCAGTTGCACGTCCGCTTGCCCCACGAATGTAGCCACCACCGTCCAACCGCACAAGGTTGGACACAAAGTCTACCTACACTAGTTTATCAATATAATTTAAAGATTGAGAAACCAGAAGTCAATTTGTGATTCACTTTCCACAAAGAAAAATACTACGTACTTTGCACTAAAAAATGAAATTTATTCCACTAAAACAAATCAGGGACTACTTCAAGGTGTCTTTTGTCATAAGAATGATTACTTCATAATCAATCCACAGATGGTATTCATTTCATTTTGAATCCATAATGTCAAACTTCAAATTCAAGTCCAGTTGGGTTAATCAACTCAAACAAATAGATATAAGGATGTTTTCTTTTGGACTGAAATTTGCTGGTCTAGTCTGGTCTGGTCTGAACTGGTCTGGTCTGGTCTTGTAAACGTCTGGTCTTTGTGTATTTTATAACTATCCAAGTCTGGTCTGGTCTGGTCTGGTCTGGTCTGTTTAAGTCTGGTCTGGTCTGGTCTGATCTGGTCTGGTCTGGTCTGGGACTGAAAACAGTCCCAAAGAAAACATCCTAAGTAGAAAATCATGAGTACATCCATGATACTTCTATGGGGGAATATGAATCGTTAATTCCTTGTGCGAAAATTCTTTATCACACATATTAAAAGTGTGTAGTAAAATATGTATGTAGTAAAAAAAATCCGAAACAAGATCCAAATAAATAATTCAATTTAACAAAATGTAACGTAGATGAGTTTATGGTCATGAACCATACTAATTGTAACGTAGACATAAATGAAATTTGTATATTTTCACCTCCGTACTATGAAGTAATAAGTCAATAAACAATGTAATTGACAAAATGTCTCTGATGGAATGTAGAAGTTAAAAGTATATTTTTTTTGAACGAAACTGGCTTAACTTATCATAATCAAATCAACCACACAAATCAAACTAACATTGACAATCGTGTGACGACAAGTCTCCTGTCTACTGTCCGCCCAAGGACCAGACTCTAAATTAATCACTTCCGTAGAAGCCATATAATTCGCTGATCTAGCTTTGGGATTACCTGAGTCTATGACTTGTAGACACGATACATCAGCTCCAATATTAGTTTCATAAGTATCTTTGCTGGAAAAACACAACACACCCAAAACAAAAACAATATCTAGAAGTGAAAAATAAACAAAACAAAATAACAAGAGTAAATAAGTCTTTCGGCTAGTAAAGCCGTAACCAGCATCAGGACTTTTGGCGGGGAGGGGCCCCAGCACCCACCCCCCCCATTTTTTGGAGAGTCCAGCGCCATAGCATCCTTTCCAACTTCCCCCCTCGTCTGGTCCTCCCACTTGCGCCTTCTCTTCATGTCTCTTGTCATCCCATCCTCATCTCCCGAGAACACAGCCTTCCCCCCACCTGTCTTAGCACTCTCCCCCGTCTCATCCGACACCACCTCCTGTTCTGGCCTCATCATACGTGTCATGTGCGACTCCCCGCAGCAGAGCTTCCTTCCGTTATCAGCCATTTGCTACTCAAGTTTGACTTCGCCTTACTTCCACTTGCTCTAAGCCACGGCCAAAAAGGTCTGGCCATGGCCTGTCCTTCCTTTTCATACAGCAGAGGGCAGAATTTCTCTGCATGCCCAATCATTCCACAGCAGAAACAGAAACTTGGCAACTTTTCGTACCTAAAATCTACCCAATACCCTTCACATTTGCTCTTCCTTAAAGTGGTTCCAATTTTAAGGCCTTAGTAGTATTCATTCGAACTCTCACTCGCATGTAAGCCTCTTTTTTGTCACTAGCTTTTTGTTCATCCCAACTAACAAATTCCCCCAAATAATTCCCTATTCTCCTTGTCGTACCCAAGTTTTCAAAGCTATACAGCACGTTATGAACCTGAACCCAGATTTCAAATTCATCTAACACCATCTTAATAGGAATATCACCCGGATTAACAGCTTTGAGCACAATCAGACTTTGGTCATACAGCCATGGTCCATTTTCCAGGACCCGATTCATATCAATAGAGTGAAAAAACTTAAAGAGATACCTTCGTTCTCCGATTTCTTGTATGGTCATCCCTTTGATTGGGCGCCATAGATCCGCCATGAATCCCAGAAGAACGGAAAACAGATAGCTTTATCTATGAGAACTGTCCCAACCACCGGAAAATCCTTTTCCTTCACTGGCCCCACTGCTGAGACCTCTTCCTCATCATCTTCGATCACCAATTCATCATCCTTACCCCCAACTCACAGGCCTCTGTACTTTGCGACAATCTCACCCACACGTTCATTCACCTGGTCGCGAACCTCCCTGCTCGCTCCTTCTTCGGTGTCCTCCATCTCGTCTCAAAGCCCCTTCTCCGAAGACTCGCCCTTCGTCTGCACTTGAATTGCGCCGCACGCAGAACGGCGAAGAGGAAAAACCCCTCAGCTCTCGGCTAGTGTACGGAGGCGTTTTTCTAATTGATCACCATAGAAGTTAAAAGTATATAGAAAGTAATTTGTTTTAGGGAAAAGGTGCAAATAGACCCATGTACTAACAAAAAAAGGTCAAATAAGCCCTTGTTTAGGAGGTTCTGTCCGGCCGTTGTCATTTGGTGTGGTTCCCGGTGAATTTTTTTGATGAAATTAATTGACCATCTTATTCATCAAGTCTAGTTTACTCATACCAAATTTCAGCTAAAACTTCAATCGGGAAGGCATTCAAATGAATTTTTGAAGATAACTGCGCTTCTAACTGTGCAGTTATTTTCAAGAATTCATTTGAATGCCTTCCATATTGAAGTTTTAGCTAAAATTTGGTATGAGTAAACCAGACTTAATGAGTAATATGCTCAAAATATTTCATCAAAAAATTCCACCGGGAACCAACCCAAATGGCGACGACCGGGCAGAGTCTCCTAAATAAGGGCTTATTTGACCTTTTTTGGTTAGTACATGGGTCTATTTGCATCTTTTCCCTTTGTTTTAAAATGTATTGAGAAAAACCTAAATATAATGATAGCAATCAATGTTGTTAATTGACATAAGACCACAATATTGCCATCGAATGTCTCTGTAACAAAGTGTAACATAACATATTGCGGAATATAAATGTTAGCATAAAAGCAGAATATACTAACAGATCTAGAGTTCTATACATGATGTGATAAATTGATCACTCTAATAACTAAACTGCAATTAACTTCAAGCAAATAACATAACACCGTATTCTCAAATCTCAAACACACAAATGAATGCCAATTTCGAAATATATGACCACAAAAAGAATATATCACTGCATTTCAGTTTATATGGACATAAACATATCACACGGCATCCAGATTTCGCAAGTAATACCTTAGACTAAGGCCAAGTATATAAAGTCTTTATAATAAAGACATTTTTTTAATGAAGTATAAGGACATTCTTAAGATTTGGAGATTGGATCGAACCAAACTGGTCAACATAAACAGATAGGCACATACTAGTCCCATCTTCATTCTTAAAGTTTTTTTTTTAAGTTTGCAGTTTAGGTCAGACAGATTGGACCATAATTTAAAGACTATTTTTTCAATACTTGCATCTAAATTAAATTAGTACTACGTATTAAGCAAATAATAACAATTAAATTGTATTTAATTTTACTTTAATATTTATATATGCAAGCTAGATATTTGTCTCAAACAATAAGTTTGTAGACGTTGAAATGCCAAGAGTTCAAATCCTAGCTTAATACCCCCTTATTCATATACTGTACCCAAACATGTCGATTTTTTTTATATTACCGTTAATCTCATTATAAATAAAATTCACATAAATGAAATAATAGTTTTGTATTTAAACAAAGGAAAAAGAAATAATCTTAAAATGCACATAAAAAGTATATATTGTTGTGCATAAATAACTACCATAAGAATATAAACAGTGACACCCATGTTTCAGTGACCATCATCATATATACGATCACTTGGGGTTGGAGTATAAGCTGCAAACCCGAGAAAATTATCATAATCACGGGGGTACATGTAAGAACCAACGTGCATGTTTAACTTCTTGCTAATTTTCCTTACAGTGTGGGCCTTTAAGGAGTAGATGAAGAGGCCTCGATATCTCCAAAACAATACCAATTCGTCCTTATGGATGCTGATGATTCTTATATGGCAAGTAGCCCAAGGTTCGGTGAAACGAAACACATTCACATCCCAACTAAGGGAAGCAATATATTTCTTAGTCCAAGAAGACCAATTTCCATAGTCCTCCAAAACCCATACATCAATTCCCATGCGTTTAGAATCCACAACGCAGAAACACAAGCGCTCTTCTTTGACCAACAAAAAGGCTATGTAATCCTTTTCTGCCATGTAATCCTCAAAAGGGAGGCGTCTGAGCGACAACTCTTCACTAACCATATCAAATATCATCACCCCCCCGATATGCCAATGCAGAGCTTGATTAACAATTGCTGGATTACCATCAACAACATCATATGGTGTTTTCCCGTCTGCCCAAAGGCGTTTAGGCTCGTAATGAAAATAAGGACTTGCGGTTTGCCTCCACCGTTTGGATCCAGTTGAGTAAATGTGATATTCAAATAAAGGTTCTCTTCCATACACGGCAAGAATCCTGTGTTCTTTTGCTATAGGATGGTAGAAGATCCCGCATGCTCGGCTATTAGATACATTGGGGGTTCCTACTATTTGGACTCTATCTCTTGATAGAGGATTAAACACAGCATATTTGGTATAAGCTTCCTCGTTCCTGGTCGAAATCAACGCTAGTCCGCCGCAAGCATTTACAAGGTAAGCTCCTTTCAGTGAGTTTAGGCCTCTGGTCTTGCACTCCTTTTCAGAGTTTCCAGTTACAATGTAAAGCCTCAAGTTATTTTCGCCCCTCCTCTTAGAATAACGAATAATTATAGGCCTGCTGCTCTGCTGCTCATCAACATGAGATGATGGTGAAGACTTTAACATTCTGGGAACTTTCTTCATCAATTTTTCATGAATAATAGCCAGTGGTGTAGATCCGGATGTCAATGCGTCCTCCACTGCAGCGCTATTAGTCAAATCATTACCAAAAACTTCCTCAAAATGAGATGATGGTGAAGGAATTAACATTTTGGGAACTTTCTGCATCAATTTCTGATGAATAATTGCCAGTGGTGTGGTTCTCTCTGTCAATGCATCCTCCACTGCAGCACTATTGCTCAAATCATTACCAAAAACTTCCCCAAAATTAGCTGATGGTGAAGAAATAAACATTTTGGGAGCTCTCTTCATCAAATTCTTATGGATGATTACCAGTGGTGTAGTTCTGTCTGTCAATGCATCCTCCACTGCAGCACAATTACTCAAATCATTGCCAAAAACTTCCTCAAAATGAGATGATGATGAAGAATTTAACATTCCTGGAACTTTCTTCATCAATTTCTCATTAGTAATTGCCTGTGGTGTAGATGATCTGGCTGCCGATGCCTCTACTGCAGGACTATTAGTCAAATCATTACCAAAAGGTTTTTTAAACAGAACCATGATCCAGGAAAGACGCTGAAAGGCCATACCTGTGCTACACATATAATAATCAACAAATTAGATAATTTCTAACAGTCTAAGCATGCATATCGCAATTCATACTTGACTTATTGGAGGCAGAAGGTAAAAACTGAGGCTTCACTAACGACAAAACTATTAAAAATTGGGTACTCAATTCAATTGGAAAAAAGAAAAACGTTAACTTTGCAACTTACCTTGGGGAAGGAAGGGACAAAAAAATTCAGAGAGAAGAGCTGTTACGTACGGAAAGATGGATTTGAACGCATAATCCGTATATATAAACGGAGACCTAAGATTTCTTAGGGTTTGCGTCTAATTAATACTCCGTATAAGGAAAGTGTGTGCGACTATTTGATTCCAAAAGAATCCCGAGTACACTGAATGACTAGTGATGTTAGATAAAGAACAAAAATTGCTTTTGTACACGTTTTTATACACTTCAGTACACTTCTGTGTTTGTGAGAATTTTTTGTCTGTGAATCCCAATCAACAGACAAAAATTGGCTTGTTTGGTCTGTAGAATTTTCCACAAACAAAACAAGCCGGTTTTATATGTGAATTGGGATTCACAGACAAAAAAAACCTCTCACAAACACAGAGATGTACTGGTGTGTATAACAACATGTACACCAAGAATTTCCCGATAAAGAAACCATATAAGTATATAACATACCGAGAAAATTATTCCTAGTATACCCCAAGTATGACTAAACTCCTTCAAAATTGGACCGCTATATTTTTCTTCCCGAAAAAATGAATGACTAGTATTTTTTATCCGTGCCATGTACGCGGTAAAAGATATTACATAGTATTATTGTCATTTCTTTATAAAACGTAGAAGAAAATATTTGAAAATGCGAGTCTCGGTTCATAATTGATTAGAAGAGGAAAAACTAATTGATTAGAAGAAAAAATGACAATTTTTTTATGTCGTTAAAACTTAGAAGTATACGGATCAATGAGACAAGTGATAGCTCTGTCAAGTCCGTCTCATGGTTAGCGATTTGTGTTCCTCTTTCAAGAGTGATCGTTTATATGTCTAATCATATGATTTACGGTCGTAGTTGATAAATATTAGTATATGTTATGTCTGATTTTTTCTTTCATTGATGTAACGATCCTGAAACTAATCATATAAATATGGGAAAACTGTCAAATAGGCCCTCCTATTATATAAAAAAGTCAATTAAACCCTCCAACTAAAAAAACGTCCAATTATGCCCATAAACTTAAAAAAATATTCAAATGAACCATTTAACACGTAGAGGTCCGGTTATCCGGTCACTCTGCTGACATGATAACCAATCTTTCAATTTTTAATTCTTTTGTGTTTCAGTGGTCCAGGGGATTGCAGCTTCAGATGGTATTTCTTACGAGGATAGCATTTTTGCTGAGATTAGACATATGATAACTAGTTTTGCTAATTTGAGTGTCCATTTTGTGAAGCGATCAACGAATCAGGTTGCTCATACTCTGGCTCGGCAGGCCGATTCTGAGTCTGATTGTTTATGGGTGGGAACTCCACCGGATTGTATTGTGAACTTGCTTCGGTTTGATTGCTAATGATGTGTTATTTGATTTTCAAAAAAAAAAAACTTTTGTGTTTCTTTTTCTCTATTTTTTCTTCTCTCTTCCCCTCTTTTCTTCCCCAAGAGAGGGATTTCGACGATCAGTCATGGAATCCAAATGAAGACGAAGCTGGTCACCGACGATCAGCCAAGTCGCCGACGGTGAAAGAGCCAGCACCGTACTCCATCCCGTACTGACACTTTTTTTTCGATATTTAGTTTGCAACGGGACACGTCATAGGCGAGGATATTTTTCTAAGTCTGACCAGACCACAGTAAAAGGAAGTCAAGGTCCTGGACTACCGGGAATCGAAAATGGGGTCTGTTTGATTGTAGCTACGCGCTCTTGCAAAGCTTTCACTGATTTACTAAATCCAGACAGTGACATTAGTGTAGGTCATGATAATCTTTTTCACCACGCCGTCGGACATTGCTCCGGTCTTACAATTGTTCCGCCGCGGACAACGGTTGGAAAAGCTGAAAATCTACGCTGCCTAGCCGCCTTCCTTGCTGGGAATGCTGAAGTTTATCACTTGGAAGAAGTAGAAAGAAAATGATGGAGGAAGACGGGAAAAAGAAGAGAACGAAAGGAAAAACCTTAGAAGAAGAAACCCAAACAAATCAAGAAGACACCCAGTTCGTATGACAAAGAACAAGGATGTGGGGCAGGGGAATAAAGAAGAAGAAAGGTGGGGCGTATGAAAAAAGGGAAGATATGAGGAAGAGCTGACAACTTCGGCACCCTTCTAAAAATGGGGTACCGTATCTACCATTCATTTGATTGGATCACATCATTTTATTATTTTTAATTTAGATTTAAATAATTCAACAGTTATATTTTCATTGGTCCATGTGGACAAATGTATGATACATTATGGATACCATAGAATCTACCTATGAGGAATCTATAATGAAAAAGAAAAAGAAAATTAAAAGAATTAAAAATTCACACGTGGATCGGCTAAAAAACCGGATTACCGAACGTTAACCTCATAAATTACACATTTGACTATTTTTTTTAAGTTCATGGGTATAATTGGGTGTTTTTTAGTTGGAGCGCTTAATTGACTTTTTTGATATAGTAGGAGAGACCTATTTGACAGTTTTCCTATAAATATAAACAATTTTCCATTAAAAAGTGAAGAAACTCAAAATCACTATCTCAAAACATTTCTATACAATCTTCCCTAAACATACAATTTCCGCTTATATATTGGGTTCATAAGACATAGTATCTCCGTCCTGGAATAAGGCCACCGTTCGTTTTTCATCTAGTCAACTTAAATTGTCTAATGAAATTATCTATTACTTTATATATTCAACTTTTATTAAATTTGAGTTTTTTTTTTACTTTATAAACTTTTAATGTAGTTTGTAAATATTTACACTACAATTAATTCAAATAATTTTATTATTATTGACATAAATCGATTAATTTTATGATTGGTCAAACATAGTAAAAGGCAGACTATATCTTATTGAATTTCGGAAATTTTTCACAAATAGACTAAAAAGTGAAAGTAATATCACTATTTGCACTTTTCGAACATTTTTCAAAGATAAGCCAATTATTATTCTATTTTCAAAAATAGACTATACGGACTATCCAGCCCGCTTGAGTCCCATGTCTCCAATCTAGTACACTCATTAGTAGCTACTCCAACAAAAAAGATCAAGTCCAGCCCTCCCCGGTCCAGCCACCGTCCGAACTCCGCCGTTTGGGGCGGTTCCCGGTGGAATTTTTTGATGAAATTTTTTGAGCATGTTCTTCATCAAGTCTAGTTTGTCCATACCAAATTTAAGCTCAAAATTCGACCGGGAAGGCATTCAAATCATTTTTTGAAGTTGACTGGATTTTTATATGTATATTTTGGCGCAGTCAACTTCAAAAAATGATTTGAATGCCTTCCCGGTCGAATTTTGAGCTGAAATTTGGTATGCATAAACTAGACTTGATGAAGAACATGCTCAAAAATTTTCATCAAAAAATTCCACCGGTAACCGCCCCAAACGGCGGAGTTCGGACGGCGCCTCCCGTCCCTCCGGCTGGACCTGATCACTTCTCGCTACTCCAATATGGCAAGTGACTTATAACTAGTGGAAATTACCCATATGGTCTATTTTTGTCTTCCATATACTACTACTCCCTCCGTCCCAATTTGATGATCTCATTTCTTTTGGGCTCAAATATTAAGAAAGTGATTGAAAAGGTAAAAGTTGTGGTTGAGATTTGAGTATAAAAAGGTGAAATGATGTGGACCACATATTTCTTTCCAAAAAGGGAAATGGGACTATCAATTTGGGACGGCCCAGAAAGGAAATACGGGATCATCAAATTGGAACGGAGGGAGTATCATTTATGTCTCGATGATTTCTTCTTTTCATTTTTAATCTTTTCTCATTTCAATTATGTTTTACTATTTCAAAAATAACCTAAATCCTAAAGGAAAAATTCACATAAATAATCCGAACTATTAAGAGTCTTCTACTATTAATCTCAAATATGCGTAATTCTAGAATAATCCGAAATTTATAGACAGTCTTCCCTAGTTGATCCAGGTCACCTGCAACTTATACAACAGGTAAAAGTTTTTAAAAGAAAAACGAAAAAGGTTGGGCACTGGGTTGTTCATCTTCGTCTACCCTAATTACAGGTAGCTTGTTGCTTCCTTCGTTCAAGATATGTTTTGCTTTATGTTTTCTTTTCTTTCCTCCTCCACGCATATATAAATCTCCTTCTCACCTCAATTTCATTCTCAAATATGCTCCTAGAATTCGTACTTCATTCTTTCAATTTCATAATTGAAATATTTGATTTGGTCAATCCAAACTCTAATATATACGACACAATTCATCATAGAAGATGGAGACCAGTCGACTAGGCCAATTAATATAAACAGAATTACAGAAGTATGGTAGCGATGAACAACTGGGAAGGACGGAGGATCAATATTTTTTGTAAGGAGGCTCGACACTGGCGATGAAGGGAGGTTGGGATAGACGGACGATGGTTGATTATCCGACCTAGGTGGCGAGACTGGAGGCACTGGAACAGGGACAGACCGATGTCCGTAGCACACCCGTATGGCCAAAGCAATGAAAATGAAGATGAACAAAAAATTAAAAAAAAAAATGAAAAGGAATGAAATGTAAAAGGAGAGGGGGAAAGAAAACCAATTAAAACAGCCCACGTGTCCGAGTCACCTGCTCTATCAGTCTATTGGGACATACAGGTCACCGGTGCATTATAAGAAGAGGCTCGTTATAGTTCAGATTATTTTAGAATTAAGCATATTTGGGATTATTATTAGAAGACCCGTAATAGTTGGGATTATTTATGTGAATTTTTCCAATCCTAAATCAAAAGCAGCTCCTGGCATGGTAGAAGCAGAAGCATACCATTAATTGTTCTACTCCTTCCAGCTCTGAATGTGCCTCCGGTCTTCACCCCTCCGCCCTCCGCTGTTTGGCCTCCATCCTGTTCGGCTCCACTCAACGCACCACTTCATCGTTGATCCATCATCGCCGATGAGAAGCTCAACACATCGTTTCAATGCCGGCGAGAAGCTCATCGCACGGTATGATTTCAATCGCTTCCTTTGTCCAAGCATCTCAAGTCCGATTCCTTTGATTGTCAGCTCAAGAAGATTGTCGAAACTGCCATATGATCGAGATTCGAGCTGAAATTGGAAGTTATTTTGTTGATACACCCCCAATTATCGATGATGACAACAGGAAGTTGCCAAAGCTCAATGATGAGACACCAGACTACATCCCTAGTGGATTGTCC